TTCTGGAAGGAAAACTGCAACCCAAGGAAGTTAACTACAACCAGAATACAGGCAATAGATAATCCCACTTTACCAATAGCCAAATGGAAAAGGAATAGAATCCTACACATAATCTTGCCATGATCACCAAATCAAAAGCAAACAAGAATGAACAATCAATGGTGATTAATATCCATCAACATTAATGGTCTTAACTTGCCTGTAAAAAGACACAGATTAGCACAATGGATAAGAAGACAGAATCCATCCTTCTCCTGCATACAAGAAACACACCTCAACTTCAAAGACAGACAGTACCTAATGGACCCAAGAAACAAGCAGAGGTAGCATTCCTAATATCCAACAAACTGGATTTTAAACTAAAATCAATCAAAAGAGATGAAGGAGGTCACTTCCTACCCATCCACAGGAGAAATCCATCAGGATAAAGTCTCAGTTCTGAACATTTATGCCCCAAATAAAAAGGCATCCACGTTTGTAAAAGAAACATTACTAAAACTCAAATCACACATAAAACCGCACACACTTATCGTGGGAGACTTCATCACCCCACTCTCATCACTGGACAGGAACACCAGACAGAAACTTAAAAAAGAAACAAAGGAACTAATAGAAGTTATGGCACAATTGGACTTAACAGATATGTATAGAATATTCCATCCAAATACAAAACAATTCACCTTCTTCTAAGTGCCACATGGAACCTTCTCTGAAATCAACCACATACTCAGCAACATAGCAAACCTCAACAGGTACAAAAAACTTGAAATAACCCCCTGTATTTTATCAGACCACCATGCTTTAAAGTTAGAATTCAACAACAACACGAATTACAGAAAACCTACAAACTCATGGAAATTAAGTAACACCCAATTGCACAATTCATGGGTCCAGGAAGAAATAAAAAAAGAAATTAAAGATTTCCTAGAATTCAATGAGAATGCGGACACAACATATCCAAACCTATGGAATATTTTGAAAGCAGTGCTAAGAGGAAAGTTCATAGTGCTAAATGCCCACATGAAGAAACAGGAGACTGCTTCCTGAACATAACACCAGTAGCACAGACACTGAGATCAACCAATTGATAAATGGGACTTCCTGAAACTGAGAAGCTTCTATAAGGCAAAGGACAAAGTCAGCAAGACAAAACATAGCCCACAGACTGGGAAAATATATTAACCAACCCCACATCTGACAGAGGGCTGATCTCCAAAATATACAAAGAACTCAAGAAGCTAGTCTCCAAATCACCAAAAAAAAAAAAAAAAAATGCAATTAAAAGGTGTGGTACAGAACTATATAGACAATTCTCAATAGAGGAATCTAAAATGGCCGAAAGACACATAAGAAAGTGTTCAACATCCTTAGCCATCAGGGAAATGCAAATTAAAATAACTCTGTGATACCATCTTACTCCTGTCAGAATGGCCAAAATCAAAAACGCCAATTTCAGTTTATGCTGGAGAGGATGTGGAGAAAGGGGAACACTTCTCCACTGCTGGTGGGAGTGCCAGTTTGTACAACCACTTTGGAAATCAGTATGGTGACTCCTCAAGAAAATGGGAATCAGTCTACCACAAGATCCAGCAATTCCACTATTAGGCATATACCCAAAAGAAGCACATTCATACAACAAGGACATCTGTTCAACGATGTTCATAGCAGCACTATTTGTAATAGCCAGAAACTGGAAGCAACCTAGATGCCCCTCAACTGAAGAATGGATACAGAAAATGTGGTACATTTACACAATGGAGTACTACTCAGCGGAAAAAAAAAACAATGGAATCTTGAAATTTGCAGGAAAATGGATGGAACTAGAAGAAACAATCTGAGCGAGGTAACCCAATCACAAATAGAGAAACATGGTATGTACTCACTCATATGCTGATTTTAGACATAGAGTAAAGGATTACCAGCCTACAATCTACACTGCCAGAGAAGCTAGTAAATAAGGAGTACCCTGAAAGAGACAAACATAGTCCCCTGGAGAAGGGGAAAGGGTCAAGATCCTCTGAGCAAATTGAGAGCAGGGGAAGCAGGGGAAGGGAGCTAGGAGAATGAGAAGGGAAGAAAAGGAGGGATGCAGAGGACATGAGGGAGCAGAAAGTTTGAGTCAGGTGAAGAATAGAGGATAAAAAGAATGGAGATACTATAATAGAAGGAGACATTTTAGGTTTGCAGAGAAATCAGGCACTAGGGAAATGTCTGGAGATCTACAAAGATGACACCAGCTCACAATCTAAGCAACAGAGGAGAGGCTACTCTTTAATGCCCTTTAATGCCCCCCCATAACAAGATTGATGACTGACTTATATGGCACCTGATAGCCCTCTTTCAGCAGTTGGTGGATGTAGAAGCAGACACCCACAACTTACCACTGAACTGAACTGGAATCCAGATGCAGAGGATGAGTGAAGAGCAAAGGGGTCCAGATCAGGCTGGGGAAACCCACAGAGACAATTGACCTGAACATCGGGGAACTGTTGCTCCCCAGTCTGATAGCTGGGATACCAGCATGGGACTGACCCAGGAACATGGATTTCATTGAGGAAACCTCGGAAATCTACAGTACTTATCCTTAGCATAGGCGTGGACTTTGGGAGCCCATTCCACACAGAGGCATACTCCCTGAACCAAGACATGTGGGGATGGGCCCAGGCTCTATCCCAAAGGCTATGATAGATTCTGATGACACCCTATGGAAGACCTCACCATCTGGGAAGCAGAAAGGATATGTGTTTTAGTTTGAGGGTAGGGGAGGGTGGGAGGGAGATTGTTTCTAATTCAAATTTTAAAAATCTGAAGGAAAAAAATAAAAGAAATCAGTGGTGGGTTTTTTCCTTTAGGTTTCCTTCTGGATATTCCATCCTGTGTGTGGAATATAGTATATGGGCTGTGGTGACATATAGTATTAAGTGTAGCTATCTATATAGGTATTTATTTTCCTTACCCACATCTCACTGTATTTAGCTTTGGCTTCTAGAAGTTCTGCACAACTTGGGCCTTTTACCAAGTTAGTCCACTTCTATCCGAGTCACAAACATTACTGTGTCTGAACTATAATTAAGTTTTCCAAATTAAAAAAAAAAAAATCCCAGTTTTCTCTCCTGCCAGGCAGGAAGCATTTCCTGGCGATTAATCACTGTTTTGCCTTGCAAAATTCAGAAGGTTCAGAGAACTTGGTAAAGAAAGTTGTAACACCCTACTTTGATTTTCGGCTTTTGGAAGCAGTCCCATTTGGGTGGAAGCAATGATGAGTCAGTTTGTGGGTCATCCCTAAAAGCACTGTTACTCTATAAAACTTGGGTTCAGGAGGGTGTTTGTAGAAGGAGGTGGGCAGAGAACACGGCAAAGGCAGCATAGAGCTGAGGAAAGCCAGCGGAAATGAAGAGTCTCTTGGTCCTGGTCCCGCTATGGCTGTGTGGAGCAGTTTGCTCAGCCTACCCTCTGTATGGTGGTAGTGCAAGGGAGGAGGACACCGGTATGGAGCTTCTTCAGGTAAGTTGGCCTCCATGCTCTTCGGCAGGGCACAGCTTTACATTATATAGATCGGTTCTGACTGCTTGTGAATGAGTGATTCCACAGTGGAGGAGGCTTAGAAGCTGTTGGGTCTCAATATCACATGATTCTTCCTTTTGTATGAGAGGAAACAAAGGCCATAAATACTTTCAATATCACACAGCATGGCGGAAGCAGCAGCACTAACGCTGGAGGTAAAGGTGTGATAAGGAAAAAGAGCATGAACTGTGCCTTGCTTCGGACCTTCCTTTACAGTTTGAGTCCATTACATTTTAGAAAAAATATTAATAGTGTTAATAAATGAGAGCCTTGCCTAATTTTTCCCTAGCAAGCCACATCCTGTGAAAACTATAAAATTGGGGAAATTAAATAAAATTACCCTGACAAATATTCTCATAAATGTTTATTTATTCCTGTTAGTTTTCTTTGCACTAAATACTTATGAATTCATCCCCTCACTTTCAGTGCTTTAGTGGCAAACAGAGATGTTGCGTTTCAAAAATAAAGCAAAGAAGGAGGAGCTATCACTGACAAATTAAATGAAATAGTATGCTTATGATTTCAGTGAATGAGAAAAATCGGTTAAAGAGACTAAGAAAAGTAAAGCCCTTGCCTGGCTTTGAGTCCAGTCCTGTAATCTCAGGGTTCAGGAGCCAGATGCAGAAGAGCATGAATTCAAAGGAGTTTCTTGGTTAGATAGTGAGATACTGGAATGAATGAATGAATGAATAAATGAAATGAAGGTATATGAATACACACATTTACTAAAAATAGCAATAGCTAAAAGAGATCAGAATTGTGACGTAAGGGTGACATTGATCCCTTTAGAAATACTTAGAAAACTACTACGGCCTTGCAAAAGATGTGAAGCAGTTCACTGAGAAAAAGAACAATAGTCCTGTTGTCAAAAAAATCCAAGAAATGCAGAAGTTCCTCGGGCTGGAGATGATAGGGAGGCTGGACTCCAGCACTATGGATGTGATGCTCAAGCCCAGGTGTGGCGTCCCCGATGTCGGTGATTTCAGCACCTTTCCAGGTTCACCAAAGTGGAGGGAAACCCACCTCACCTATAGGTAGGTAACGGGTCCGAAGTTTTCACACGTGTTAACACTGTGTCAGAGTCATCGAGCAGCACACACTGCCTTCTTCCTCATCTCTCATGCAGGATTGTGAATTATACACCAGATTTACCGAAAGAGAGTGTGGACTCTGCCATTGAGAAAGCACTGAAAGTCTGGGAAGAGGTGACCCCACTCACGTTCTCCAAGCGCTCTGAAGGAGAGGCTGACATAATGATCTCCTTTGCAGCTGGAGGTAAAAATGCAAGAACTGCCTGAAGCACACATTGCCCAGTTGTGGTTT